AACTACCACATATGATAAAAAGCGATGCAGGACAGACACACCCCAGGGAAACATCCCTACATCAGATCAGGGCTATGACCTGAGTTGCATCCCACTGTAATTTCCTTACAACTGATTTGCTGATCACATCAGATCAAACATGGAGGATGATAATTGACTGCCAAATTACATCATAACATACCTGCCAAATCAACTGAGAATCATGGCCCAGCCAAGTTGACATATTTTTGGGAGACCAATTCAATCCATGACACTAACAGATAAGGTAAGTGGTTCCATGGTTTGAACCCACCCACTGGGCACGAGAACAGACCTGGCAATCTGCTCCTGTGTAGATCACAAGCTAGGAAACCCTATTGAGCAGTTTTAATTTGTCCTACAGGGTCAGTATGAGATGGAATTGACTTCACCACACACAACTACAACAGGCAGGTATGGGGTGCAGATCACATTGGGTGACACTGTCAGAGGGGGTAACACCAAAACGACTTGCTAAAAAATTTTTGTATACTGTTTCCACAGAAATTTATTATTTTTTATAAAAATATCCCTGTAGTTAATAACAACAAAAAACATTTTTCATAAGCCCAGTTTACATGTATCACTATATCTACAAAGGTAAAACCATGCTAATTTATTTTTATTTTTTTTTTATTTTTGAAACGTCTAATGTGCTCCTGTCACAGGTGTCATTATTACCAAACCACAATGAAAGCTTTGAATTACATGGTTTGGTCTGTACACACCACAAGCATGTGCTATTGTTTTTGTTGCTGGTGGTGTTTTTATAGTCATTGATTTTGTCAAATTTTCTGATGTTTTTGCTACAATTTTGTGGCAATTAGTATCTGTGAACCTGTATCAATAGCTTTTTTGAGAATGAAGTAGTAATTAAAGGAAAATAAGAAAAATTGAAAAAGGCTTCCTCTCTGTTACTAATAATTTGTGCCTAACAAATGTTGTAATTCAACGTAGATTCTAGAAAACAATGTTGTCAGTATTCATATTATCTAAAAATATTACAGTTAAGCAAGTTACAACTACATTTATTACATATTATTTTATGAAACTTCTATGAAGCTTAAGCACCATTAAATTCCCATGCTCACATAGAAACCTTCACACTAAGGGCCCTAGTTCTAAACTGAGAAGTGGGCGGTACAACGTAATTCCTGAAGCGTGAAGCCCTCCACTGTTTACAGAGGCAGCCCTGGACTCTGGTGACAGGTCAACAGACTCCAGGGACTATAAAGCACAGCGTTCCAAAACCCTCCAGCTCAGAAAGCAACTACTCGACCACCAGCCTTCCCTAGCCCACTCCCGCGCAGCCCACGCTTCGCTCTCTTGGGGCTCTCCGCGCCGCGCGCCACGTGAGGCGGAGCCCGGCCCCTGAGCGGCGCGCGCACCATGCTGCCTCCCGTCGCGTGACTCGGCCAGGGCGCGCCACTTCCGACGCAGCGTTTGGTTCAGGTTCCGGGGCGCCTTGGAGCTCGGGACCTTTGGGTCCCGCGCGGCACTCTTCAGATTCCGGGGCCGCGCGTCCTGCGGCGGTCCGGATGGAGGAGGCCGGAGCGGTAGTGGCTGCGGCCGGGGAGGTTGAACTGAACCTGTCCCGCCTCAGTGTGCCTCCTGAGACGCTGGAGACGGAGTTGGAGGCGCGGGGCGAGGAACGGCGCGGCGCGCGGGAGGCGTTGCTGCGGCTGTTGCTGCCGCACAACCGTCTGGTGTCTCTGCCGCGGGCACTGGGTAGCGGCTTTCAGCACCTCCAACTGCTAGACGTGAGCGGCAACGCGCTGACCGCTCTAGGGCCGGAGCTCCTCGCGCTAAGCGGCCTGCGCACGCTGCTGGCCAAGAACAACCGGCTCGGCGGGCCCGGTGCGCTGCCCAAAGGCCTGGCCCAATCGCCGCTTTGTCGCACCCTCCAAGTGCTAAACCTCAGCGGCAACTGCTTCCAGGAGCTGCCTGCCTCGGTGCTCGAGCTGCGCGCGCTGCAGACCCTGAGCCTGGGCGGTAACCAGCTGCAGAGCATCCCCGCCGAGATCGAAAATCTGCAGAGGTGAGCGGTCCCTGCGGGAAGTGGGTGTGGGTAGGGGGAGTGGGCAGGGAGCAAGCGAGATCCAGGTGATATCCAGGACCCCTGGGGCGAGCCTGGCTTTGGCTCCACCCATTTGTCATTCTTCTAGGCTCTCTTTTAATTGTTCGGTAGTATGTGCTACCCAACTCTCAGCGAGTTGTGAAGATCGTTATGTATGACAGCGTTTGGCATATTGTGCTTGCCCTATGCAGATGTTCGAGGCAAAAAATTACTATTTTTTTTTTTATCCTTTCTTGAGTCTAGGGGAGTGATCTGAACTGGGTAAATATTCAGACAACTGTGAATCTGAGTTTGTCACTTTGTGATGTGTTTTTTCATGCGTATAGATTAAAATTCTTGCTTTTTAACATAAGCTTTCCACTAACATTCCGTGCTGCCTTTTCTCCGTGGCAATACCAACAATAGTATTTGTGGAATTCAGTCAGCCATGCACTTTCCTAGCCTCCTTATAGGTGCTCATACTGGTAGGCACTAACTAAATATGTCTTTAACGGATGCAGTGCTTCTCTGTACATGTGCTATTCTCTTTGCCTGGAGTGTTTCTTCTCTCTGGCCAACTCGTGTCCATCCTGTCTCAAGAGTCACCTTTGTATGTTCTTCCTTTGCTGCTCTTTGGACAACATTAATACTTAAACTGTACTTCCTCTGTACTTCATTCATCCCACCACTGCATTTACCTTATTATAATTCCTCGTTTACAGGTCTGCCTCACCTAGATTGTTCAGTAAATGTATGGTGAATTAAATGGAAGGAAAAACTGGAGAAGCATGATAGTGAAAGTCCCTTCCTTAGAAGTGCCCTGCAGGGGAGGGAGAAATACAATGAGAACAACTTCATTGTCCAAAGTGGAAAAAAGTCATATCTTCCATCTTTAAAATGCTTTCATATCCTTTATTGCATTTTCTTAGGTAACAGAATATTAGAGCTAGAAGGGACCACTGACTTTATTACAGTTAAAAGAATACTGACCTGGAGAGCCAGGACTAAGAATAGATATATGCACACCCATGTTCATCGCACCACTATTTACAATAGCAAAAAAAAAAAATGGAAACAATCTATGTGCTCATCAACAGAATACGTAACCAAACTATGGTACATACACACAATGGAATACTATGCAACACTAAAGAATAATGTAGAATCTGCAGAACACCGCATAACATGGATGAATTTGGAGGGCATTATGCTGAGTGAAATAAGTCGATTACAGAAGGACAAATATAGTATTAGTTCATTATTGTAAAAAGTCAAGGGAAGATTTATATATGGAAG